CTGGCAGCCAACAGTATCCAAAACAAGCGTTGTCACCTTATTCGCGTTGTCATCTTTTCTGCGTTGTACATCCCCAGAAGAAGATTCTATTACGCCTTTAATTAGAATATTTTTAGCACATATTATGCGATCTACAGCTTCGTTAACGATATTATCCGTGAATTCGGTAGATTTAAATAAATCAATCTGGCTGAGCTTATCGTTCAGTTATTTTATTATCAAAATCCTCAATTTTCGCACGAATTTCAATTTTAAAATCTAGCAGAATATCTTTTATTTCTCAAATATTCGAAATATTGGAGCTGCAAGAGTTACAAAGTATGCTCAGTCCTCGAATTTTCTGTCGGGTGACGCGATCCTCCGAAGAAAGGTCGGTGCATGTGATATGTATTTGTCGATTACATCCATCGCACTGCAGTTTGCGGTCAGCTGTCGCTATGGTTTTCGAGCAGTTCGAACAAAAAGAGGTGGACGGCATTGTCCGGTTTTTCGTGTATGTAATTAGTATTTGGTTTTATATTAATATATTGTGGAATGGTACTCACAGTAATTATTCGCTGTAACTCCACTTCTTACATAAAATTTTTACAAAAACTGCTGACTATTGATATACCTATAGAACAATCATGCAACATTTATTTGCGAAATAATTATTTTCTACAGAGTAATCGTGAAAATCAATACGAGCACAAAATTTTACGTGTGTCGTCAACCAACTAGCAGGTTGTACTCAGTAAACAGTTTAAAGCTAGTAACGGTTAGTTCAACCGATTCCAAAGTCGCTGTAATTGGCATAGCATTGCAGAAAGTGGAGAAGCGGCAAGTGCTGATAAAGAGGCTGTGTCTTGTTATCCACAGAAATTAAAAGCCATAATAGATGAATGTGGCTAAACCAAACAAACCATATTCAATGTAGACGAGACTGGCCTGCTTTGAAATAAGATGCCTAAGAGAACTTTCATCGCACGTGAAGAGAAAACCTTTCCAGGTTTTAAGGCTGCCAAAGATCGATTGATAGTGATGGTGGGGTCAAATGCAGCCGGTGATTGCAAGTTAAAACCACTCTTAGTTTATCGCTCAGAAAATCCAAGAGCACTAAAAAATAAATCTAAATCTGGCTTGCCTGTAATTTGGACGTCTAATCGCAAAGCTTAAGTGACGGCTTTCCTTTTTGAGCATTGGTTTGGTCATTATTTCATATCTGAAGTCGAACGTTATTTTCAATCTAAACAAATTCCAATTAAAGTAATACTAATTATCGACAACGCCCCAGGTCGTCCCCCTGCAACTTTTAACTAGTTTTGAGCCACGTGTGAAAGTTGCATTTTTGCCACCTAATACAACCAGTTGACTTCAGCCGATGGATCAGGGAGTCATTAAAACATTCAAGGCTTATTACACCAGACAATCATTTGCACATCTTCATGAAGTTATAAGAAATAACGACAAGCTCACTGTTAAAGACTTTTGGAAACAATTCAACGTGTTAGATACAGTGACAGTAATTGGACAATCTTGGAATGAAGTTTCACAAAAAACGTTGAATGGCGTCTGGAGAAAATGTGTACTTTTTTTGTCATCACTGACACTGAAATGGAACTGATGCCAGAGCATGATGAAGTTAGTAATGTTATTAAAGAAGTTGGTGATATCCTCCAGCAAATAAATTTAGAAGTTGATAGTGATGACGTTGAAGAACTGTTAAATTCCCACTATCAGGAGCTGACAATAGATGACCTCATAGAAATGCACGAGGAAGAACAAGACATTGAAGAGCTTGAGTGTTTGGATCCAGTTCAATCTGAGGATCAAATGACGATTGGAAACTTGACTGAAGACCTCAGTTTAATTGAAAAGGGATTAAAAATTTTAGAAAATATAGACCACAACGAAGAGCATATTTCTTCTACCAAACAAGGGATAAAAAAATTATTAACCTGCTATTAAGAAATTTCGCAGGAGAAAAAAATCTGATTGATGGGTTTCAATGTTAAATTCTAATGTTTTCTCGAGAATCTGTCTTATTGAATGAAACTGATCTTTTCCACCTATGCCCACTGTAAAAACATGCATAGAGAATATTTGCTAGTATTTTGTAAGCAGTTGTTACCAGCGTTATACCTCTGTAGTTGTCACACTGAAAGTGATCGCCTTTTTTATGTAATGGGCATAAGTATCACGCCTTGAGGCCATTCACATGGCATGGTCTCATTTTTCCAGACAACAAGTAAATATTTATGCAGTGTTTGTAGCATGGCGTTGCCACCATTTTTGTACAGCTCCCTACAAATTTTATCAGTTCCTGGTGATTTATTATTTCTTAAGCACTACGGTAGTAAAAACACTACGAACAAGTAAGCAAATCAATCAAAATACATAAATAAAAACAAATATAGAAACAAAGTGTTCTAAAAACTATATCTAGTGTATAAGATATTCAATATGAAAATATCATCAAAAAAGATGATGTTTGATAGTAAATACCCCAAAAAACAAAGATAGTAATGTGAGAAACTTCAATTACCTAGGCTGTTATAAAAGTTTCAAAACAGTGATGTTGATAACGAAGTTGACAAGTATAATATACTGAAAGGTATACAAATAGCAAACAAATATTATTTGTGGAAGAATTCATAGAACATTGGAGAACAATACAACAAAGAATACAATAAAACTTTATATTTGCAGAGAACTGAGATAGCTGCAGATTCAGTAGATGCAGAAAACTTACCAAACTGCGCACAGATGACATTTGTTTTTTTTGTGGATTCACAGCTTTACAATGTAGATTATAGACAATCGCCAATATGGAAATTGATTGCTATGTACTATTAGAATGTCCGAATTAAATCAACTCACTAGTATGTCTGTTGTAAAAACAAAAGATATAGTGAAAGTAAGAAATCCAAACATCTTTCAATTCAGGAAAATTGTTGAAAACTTCTGACTCTGAAATTGAAGCAAACTCTGATGAGCCAGATGGATGTAAGTATAGGTAAACAATTATTTGCTGCTTGTTAAAATAATGAACATTTTAATATTTTAGGACAAAGAGAATACAGTTCAGTGGGGATGAGTATATTTTACAAAATTAGGAGACACATCTACTATTGATAATGAAAATATATGGATAATCACAATAGATAATATATAAGAAATATCTTTAGCCAACAAAAATTATTAGAAACGGCTGGAAGAGCTCAGATTTGGAGCTCCCTCTGATTCTAGCAGATCTGGGTACCCAAAATAGCCTGGGTTCTAGAAACGCCAAAGACCAGGTCTTTATGGGCCTAGTCTGGATGATAGGTGTGATAGAATGGACCTGTCTTAGGAAGTCTAAGTGCCTGAAGGGCTCACAAATGGACCCTGCCTGATCTATCATGACAATAACTAAAACAAATGAACTATTGGCAGAATATCAAGCTGACGAGCTATATGATTGGTCCAGACTATTAGTTGATGATATTTATTGCAAATTATAGTATGGTATGGCTGCAAAGTTAATGTGCTATCTAAAAGTAGTAGAGGTTAACACCCAAGAATTTCAAAGTGCCAAATTAAAAGAGCCAGAATTACTGTTTTTGTTAGGTGTCACAATGCATACTGGAGTAGTGGAACTGTAACGTTATCTAACATTTAAGACTCCTAAACCGACAGACTACTTTCAATGTATTTTAGAAAATTTATGAGCAGCACCATTGGTCACAAAATGTACAAGAGTGTGACTAACTTCTGGAAGATCGACTATTCAAAATCAGACCATTGCTAAATCATTTTAGCACTCAAATGCAAACTACATATTATTCAGCAAAACTTTTGTCTTTAGATGAATCCATGGTCCTCATAGAAAGACTGAATTGATTTTAGACAGTAGCTTCCAAAAAAATGTCACACATAAGATACAAAAATTTTTATGCTCAATGACTCAGATGAAACAATTTTGAATATTATAGTGTGATTACTATAGTGATTACTATAGTATAGTGTGATACTAGCAAACGTGACTTATTTGATGGTAAAGATAATACCCAAAAATAGTAAAACATTTAATGTGATATTATTTAGACAACTGATATTTATACAGATCACTAAATTGTTTTATTGACCACACAACACAATGGTAAACTTAGTGACACGTTACACATTTTCACCTCTATATTCATTTCACAGTAGGTAATTGTCACATTGACATTAAAAATTTCAAACGAAGTTCTGAAAGAATAAACAAATAATTACTAAAATGCCTATTATGTTGTATACCGTCCAAGAAAAAGTGCAACTTGTAACATGGTACTTTCTGGGTCATTCGATACGCGAAGTACATAATTGATTTATTTATTGTTGCCTTCGAAAATAGACCTCCACGAAGTGTTACAACAGTTAAAAATGCCATTAAACATTTTCAAACTTCGGGATGTGTTGAACAGTTGTAAAAAAGTGTCATGAAGGTAATGAAACACATATTAGAGCTGCCGATGAGGAGTGTCAAAACAGGAATATTGATATTTGTGCTTTTGTGGAAGCTAGTGTACAAATTGCTAGGAAAGTTGACATGAATGTTCGGACTGTCCAGCGAGTTCTCAAATTCCGAGTTCTATTGTAATATGCCTTAATACATTAAATTTAATATAATTACAAATAAATATGGACTGCTTCATTAATCGTTAGTTTATAATTGTTACAGTTTGATAAAATAAACAAATAAAATAAATTGAACTGTGAATAACTTATTGATTAGTTGGTAATATTTGGAAGTTTGTCACAATTTTCTGTTATATTTTTATGATGATTTTATATCACCCTCAGTTAAGACTGTCAGATTAATCACAAGTCAAGATTTTGAATTCTTTAGATAATTTTTTTAGAAAAATAATGTGAATACTGAGTGTTAGGTTTTTTACAATTCAGAAATGGCTACAAGTAGGTAATATGGTTAAGGTGGTAAATCATATTCACACTCAAAATTGTTGTTACAATATGTATGTACATGCGGTACTTACCTGTTCAACAATAATTTCAGCTACTAAGGATGTTATCATAATGTCTTCAAGATATGGTATCAAAGTTTCCATAAATAGTTCTATCAAATCATGAAATTGTCCGGGATCTTTTGTTAAAGTGGTAATTATTTGTTTAATTCGATTTAGGTCAGGTGAGTATCCTTCTGTTACCTCATTGTTAATATTTTCTGAAATAACTTGTGGCGGCTCTCTATGTATTTGTAAGCGTTTTTGAACACTACTTGTAATAAATTCAACTGGATGAGGAACATAAACATTTTTAGGATACCATTCATTAGCACTTGCATTTAACGTTGAATTGGCAACCAACGTTTCCCTATCCACGAGTGTTTTGCTACTTAGACGTGGTTTTTCATCTCTGGTAGTTGTATTTAAGATATTTACCTCTGGAGAATTAGAAGGTGCAGACTGCTGTGTAATAGTTATTGCTTTGGGTTGCCTTAATATTGTATTACGTTTATCTGCATCCTTGTCCCACAGAACAGTTGGGTTGTTCATGGTTAAATATTTATTAGTAACGTTTCTACTAACTGTCCGCACATCAGACGAAAAGTAACTTTTATTGAATTTATCTGACAAAAAGAAATAAACAAAATACACACTTCCAATTGTACACACTATTGACACACGAATGACAGCTGACAGTAAGGTATGGTCATATGGAGTCATGCGTAACTAACTACCGAATGACACGAAACAACACACGTCAATAAACGAGACTTAAAAATTGACAAGGATCTACAGACCGAGAATTTGGCATCCAAATTCCACTGATTCGCGCAATCGTACTTGTAAGTTCGTATAGTCGGCTGGAGTTACAATTTGCCAAATTTAAATGTAATCGTTTCTACTCATTCATATTAATATTATAATGTATAATATATTAAAGTTTTTAATATTGGTAATATTATTAAAGCTTTTAATACTATTTTTTAATATTAATATTAATATTAAGTAATTAAATATTGCGCCTTGCTTAAAAAAAGTACGAGATAAATAACTCGTTTTTTACATGAAAGTGCAATTTTCTTGCAAATGCCTTGAGAGGGGAAATTTCCAATATAACACCAACCAAAAGACAAAAATATTAACTTAGGTACATGCAATCATTATCACTGCTTAGCGTATTTTCATGGAAATCAACCGCTGTGCTGACTAGTATTTTTTTTTTAATTGTGATGAATAAATAAAGTATATATTAAATAAAGGGTATTTTAAATAAATTTGTAATATTTTATGCGAAAAGAAGAAAAGACTCAGTTCCGAGTCGTGAGCGTATTCGTTATATTTTCTTTAATTGTGTTAAGCTACTCGGATGTAAGTCGTTATAATTATTCAAAAAAAATGAATTTACAATATTTTTTATTAAATCAAATGAGAAATGTTATAGCAAATTAAGAACTAAGGAAAAAAAAACAAACTTTCATTTCCTAAATAGCAAATTGTTTCTGAACAGTTAAGATTAACTTCCAAATAAAATTTGGATAATATTGTAAAGGCTTTTATATACTGAAATTAAATTAAAAAAGAACCTGAAAAAAGTGGAAAAATAATAAAAAATTCCCAAATTTAAATATATCTCGAAAACAAAATACGATCTGGAAAAAGAATACCGGAAATGTTTAATTTTTTTGAGTTCTTCGATTGTGTAGTACCTTCAATTTCAGTTTTTTTTCAACAATACTCGAGTATTCCGATTAAGTACTCTCAGCCTTATAAAAATTTCCAAGAAATTAATATCGGATGAAGTTTCAACAAGCGAAATGAAAATCCTAATATTAAAACAGCATTATGACCAGGTACAATATCTGACTGTTATGCAAATTAGTAGGTAATTAGAATTAGAAAGTCAGTATGGGCAAAACCAGCTTATTCAAATTATAGGTACCTACCTTTAGTCTTGTATTGAAGGATTTTAATTTATTACCCTTAGCATACGTAAAGATATAAAAAACGAGTTTATCTCGTACTTTTTTTAAGTAAGACGCAATATTTAATTACTTAATATTATTCTTAATATTAAAAAATAGTATTAAAAGCTTTAATAATATTACCAATATTAAAAACTTTAATATATTATACATTATAATATTAATATGAATGAGTAGAAACGATTAGGTACATTTAAATTTGGCAAATTGTAACTCCAGCCGACTATACGAACTTACAAGTACGATTGCGCGAATCAGTGGAATTTGGATGCCAAATTCTCGGTCTGTAGATCCTTGTTAAAAATTGCATAAATGCGTTTATTGGTTTATTTCTACACATCACAATCGAACAATGCCGAATACGTCCGATGTTAAATATTTAAAACTGGTTGTAAAAATCTCTTAATTTTTACCAATAATAATTAACAAATGTGAAATATATACGTATTTAATTCTATTGTTTTCCTTAGGAATTTATCAGAAATATTAAAATTTATTAAGGAATTTAGTATGTACCGGATAAATAACAGCGCTAAAGTAAATATTTTTTATATATTTATGAATTAAATAACTCATTTACTTGAGGAATAAATTTTACTGCTATATTAGGGATCTGTCCGAGAATAACAATCAATGGAGATAAACTTTTGCAAACCTCGAGAAATCGACCATGGGTTCTTCTTGATTTATTTCGAAACACGCAACAAAATTTGTGAGGTCGTTTATTTTCATGCAGTTCTCGAAAAGATCAAGTTTTTTGCGAAATGTCTTAATTTGACCAACCAACTGTGATACCGTCTTATTTTTCTCCTGTAGTTGTAAGTTTAATGTGTTCAAGTGAGAGGTAATGTCTGTTAGAAATGCCAGTTCATGAAGAAATGTTTTGTTGTTAAGCTTTGTTATACATACGTCCGTGTTAATAACAATTTCCGTTTTAAAAAACAGTAAGATCTCTTTTCTTAAAGAAAAAAATTTGTGAGGCATTTACCTGCTCTCAACCAGCGTATCTCTGAATGTAGGGGGACGTCCTTATATTCATCAGTATTTAATTCCTCAATAGACAATAACAGAAGAACATAAAAATTAAAAAGCTGTTTCATTACTTAAGGTTGAAATAAATATATAACAATAAATGTAAGACATTTTTAGATATAACAGAACTTATATGTAAATATCCATAAATTTCAACAAAGTTAACAAATTATAATTGGACAGCAAAATTTGTGTTTTTATTAATATACAAGAATTTTCCGGGAATAAACAAAAAATAATTAAATAATACTCTGATAAGGCTAACGACGCGTATTTATTTTTGAAGAGAAAGTTATTGCAATTGATTTCAAACAATAGTACATAAATTATTCATTCTTTTGTGTACCTGGAGTAATAAACAGCTTATTCAAATTATTTATGTTTTATGTACCATTAATCGGTTATTAGGAATTTTAAATGAAAGTGTTTTTAAAAATAGATATCTTTTTATAACCAAAAATTCAAAGAAAATGAATGGTTTCTATTTAAGTATAAAATTAAAAGTCAATATATCTCAAATACCTAATATAATTACTTTCTAATAGAACATTCTTTTATACAGAGTGTCACAAAGTGCTTTTGGTTTGCTTCGTTGTAAAATATACTGATTTATCATACATTTACCTATATTAGCAGTAATCTTTAAAAGACAATTCATTCCATTCTACTTGGGCATTTTTAAAGATCTCTAGTTCATCATTATGCTCATTTATCCTTTAACTTTACGCGGAGTCAGCTTCCGTAATTACCTTATCAATAATCTTGATAGACATTGATAAAATTTTCTGTCAGTCGGCCCTCAATTCGTCCGCTAGCAGATACTAGAAGATAATCCTACCTTTAATTTCTACCGATGCTACAATAATACGGTACTTTATTACTCATAAAATTAAAAAAAATAATAGGTAGATAAAGTTTTTCTAGTAAATGTTGGTGTTAAACGTAAAGCAACTGATGATATTTGTGGAATTTGAGGAATCCCTAACTGATCATTTTGATGAGAGTTTCAGTTCAAATAGTTCAGGTTACACTACTTCCGATTTAAACTTTTTAGTAACATGTTAAGTACCTAAAATAATCCAAATTACCACATGGACAACCATTCTGGCAATCCGCGTCTTATTGATATCACTGTCAAGATATCAAGAAAAAAGTAAGCGCCAGAAATAACATCTACAAACTAACAAACAAAAAATAGGGAGTACAACCACACACTCCCCGTACTTAGCATTAACATGTTTTTCTGCTGCCGAGTTGGGAGCACCAGTGTGGGAAAACTCTGCTGACGCTAAAAGCGTCGACGTTGCGTTAAATGAAACGGTTCGTATAATATCTAGTTGCCTGAAACCGACACTACCCGTTTTTTATGACGCGAATGGTGCTTCGGCCCATGAGTAAACAAAAAGAATTACTGAGCATAATCAAAGAGAGAAAAATACCATACTTGGCTCATGTGTTGAGAGGTGAAAGATATAAATTACTCCAAAACATATGTTCAGTTAAAGATGTTCTTTGTTGCCGGTGCCTTCTTGAGAAAAGCTTGCATCTTGTTTTTAGTGAGAATTGCACGCCTACTAACGTGGACCATCTATCTATCTAATTAGCCTTCTTCGGTCCATCTTTGGACATAGGCCTCCCCAATCCTTTTCCATTCTTCTCTATCTGTCGCTACAGTAATCCACCTAGATCCCACGTGCTTCTTAATATCATCTGACCATCTTATTTGAGGCCTTCCTCTGCTTCGTTTATATTCCTACGGTCTCCAACTTATAAGAATTTTGTTCCATCGGCCTTCTTTTTGTCTTATATTGTGTCCGGTAAATCTCCATTTCAATTTTGCAACTTCTTGTCTAACATCCCTCACTTTTGTTTTCTCTCTTATCCACTCTTTTTTTTACCCATTAGTCTAATGTGCAACATTTGTCTTTCCATTGCTCTTTGGGTTTTTATGATTTTGTCCATGTTTGCTTTTGTAAATGTCCACGTTTAGGAACCAAAAGTAAGAACAGGGAGTACGCATTGACTGTATACTTTGGTTTTAAGATGCTGTGGATATCTTTTGTTTTTAAGAATGTAGCGTAGTTTGCCAAATGCCGCTCATGCCAGTTAACTCGTCTTTTTATCTCTGCTTTTTGGTCTTTGTTAAGTTTTATAATTTGACCCAGATATATATATATATATATATATATATATATATATATATATATATATATATATATATATATATTGATAAAGTTGTATTTTATTAATTTTACTTTTTTTTTATAATAAATGTAATTTTTATAATATGTGGTTCGTTGTTTAATTTAATATATACCTCAGCTAGCTCAATTATATGTTCTAAGCAATCTGTCACTGTGTGACGTCGACTCTGTAGTCTCCTGGTAGAGTTCAAAAAGAAATTAAACCAAATTTACTTTAGACCTTTGATAAATTAACCCAAATGAAGCACGTTATTTATTAATATTGAACAAATTTAATATAAACAATAAAATTCGTCTGCAACTTCGGTTGCCTTTAAAAATTTACAAAAATAGGAATCGTTTAAGTCTTAACGTGGTTTAGTGACGTGACAATAAAAATGTATTACAAAATGTGGAGACTCTCTACAAGTACCTAAAAACTAAATAAATATTGCAACTTTATAAAAGTGTT